ATCATATGGTATTTGTTGTTCTCTGATTGACTCATTTCATTTAGCGCAATATCCTCTAGTTCCATCCACATCATTTCAAATGGAAGATTTCCATCTTTTGATGGTTGAGTAATATTCCACTATGTATAGGTCTATATATATATGGTGTATATATACCACATCTTCTTTATCCATTCATCTGTCAATGGACATCTGGACTCTTTCCACATTTTGGGTATTGTGGACATTGCTGCTATAAACATTGAAAGATTTGTTTATTTTAGAGAGAGAGAAAGAAAGAGCACATGCTCTTGAGTATGTGAGTGGGAGAAGGGGCAGAGTGAGACAAGTAGACTCCCTGCTGAGTGGGGAGCCCAACGCAGGGCTGGATCCCAGGACCCTGAGATCATGACCTGAGCCAAAATCAAGAGTTAGATGCTTAACTGACTGAGCCACCCAGACACCCCTGTCAGAGAAATATTTTGCATGTAAAGAGGCAACTACAGTTTGGAAATAACTTGTCAGGTCTTTTAGCTGGTGGGGGAGTGGAGGCAGAATGTGAACTTAGGAAGTCAGTCTCTAGAATTAAAGTTTTGAAAAGAAAATGATAGAGCTATTTAGGAAATCAGATGGCAGTTAGCTGAGGGGAAGGAGATGCCACAATATGAAGGAAATTTAAGAATAGAAAGAGGGCACCTGGTTGGTTCAGTCATGCATCCGACTCTTGATTTCAGTTCAGGTCATGATATCACAGTTGTGAGATCGAGCCCTGAGCTTATGATTCTCTCTTTTTTTTTTTTTTTCCCTCTGCTCTTCCTCCCACCTCAAGAAAGAACAGAAAGAAAATATAAGAATTTGAAAACAGTTTAAAGAGCACAGATCCAAAAAAGACATCTACCTTTCTGAATCTGTTCCTCTTTTCAGCTCAGATTCTGCTGTTCTTAGTCTCTTCTTGAAAATGTTACCTGCCTAGTAGTGTGCATGCCCAATGTGGTTAGTTTTACTGAGAAGTCCAAGGCTAAAGGACAAGGAGGATAGAGATTTTTTGCCTTTGAGATGGACTGTCCTCCTCCCAATCTGGAAAATCCTCCTGCTTTCTGAGTCTAGCACCAAACTTCCACTTTGAAAGTCAAGCTTGCCTGCGTGGGAGAGAGTAGGTTTACCCAAACCTGTAAAACCAAAACTCCAGCAAAACCAGATCCTGAAGCTGAGAGGGCTCGGCTTATTACAGTGTCTGAACCTTTGCCCATGTGTATCAGCAGGTCTGTTCCCACCCCTTGGGGGCTTGTGAGAATTAGGAACTATGTGCATATGTTACCAGGCACACAGTAGGTGCTGAGATCCAGAGCAACAGCTGAGACAAAGGGAGAGAGGGTTGCTGGTTGCTCGGTACCTTTGTCCTGGGACTCTTCCCCACTCTTCTTGTGCAAGGCCAGGGGCAGAGGTCTGAGAGCTGAACTGGTTGCTGTGGGGCTGGCAGACCCCAGGAGAACATGTGAATAAGCTCAGTATGGCCCAAATCATGGGAACCTGATGTATATCAAGGCTTGAAATTCACATAGGGATGAAATCAAAGAGAGGATGAAAAAACAGTACCCAGGTGGCAAAGCCTGTGCTGACGTTGGGAAAGGTGAAGGTGTCCCCGCAGGTGTATACTGGCCATAATAAAGGCATTCATGGAAGGGGAGCTGGGGGAGGGCTTAGTGATGAAGGTGATCACCCTTGTCCCCTTTCTCCTCCCTCAGAGTGTCAGATTCAGTGATCTTCAAAGCTGCCCAGAGCAACTCCTTTCTCTGACTCCCCACAAACTTGCTCTCCCTCCACATGTTCCACCTCTACACACATACTGTTCACAAGCCCCTTTGAATACATTGCTATTTATGTCGAATTACCATTCAGCAAGATAAAGAACATGTCGGTTGTTAGTCACAGTATCAGAGTGACCACTGCCAGTTGTCACCTGGCTCTCCATTCCGGTTATTTGCAGGCTGATGAGTAACAAACATTTTCCTTTATTTAGAGAATAACCAGGCTGAGTGGAGAGACCACCCATTCCAGGGGTGGAATCTTGACTCTGACCTCCTTAGAAAATGAATGACCACAGACAAGCCACTCATCTTTTCCAGTCTCAGATTTGTGATGTGCGAAATGGCCCTGATTGTCTCCTCCCGGGGGTGAGATTTAGTGCGTAAAAGACAGTGTTTGAAAGTACGGTGTGAACATAGGATTTTGTCTAGTGTTTTTATCTCTATTCTAATCTTTTTATTTACCGAGCGAAATAAACTAGTGTCAGCAATGCCATCTTCGTCATTTTCAAAAGCTTACCTATAGTGACTTCTCGACGGTTAAAGCTGTGTTGGGTGAAAACTCCAAGGTCTATTTCAGGCCAGTTCTGGAAAAAAACCAAGGCGGATGGTGAGAGTGGAGAAGCAAAAATAATAAGGCAGATTACAAAACAACCCACGTTAGGCTTGAGATGCTAGTCACTGGCTCTTCCATTCTGATTGGACTAATTTCCAGGAATCTTACAGCTGGTAGAGACAGCAGCTATTTTCCCCCCAAACTACTGAAGGTTCATTTTCAAAATGATGATCTTTATAACTGGATGAGGAAGTCAACAGTCTTCCTAAAAAACCACCTTTGCCCTATTACTCTACAGAGAAGTCTTCAGTGATTACCCAATAACTAGAAATAGATGCTTCAGTGAGATTTAGACTCCCCACCCCCAGCAACTACCACCAGCCCTGTCTTATTTATCCCTCTCTTTCCCATAAAGCCAGGGGTTGGTTCCCTCCAGGCTCCCCAAGTTACTGCTCCTTCCTGATAAGGGCTTCTGCTCTCTCTTTTCTTCTGTCTTGAAACCATAAGTTTCTCTGCCTTCTTCCTATTTTTCATGTGTAATCTTAATCCTACCTGAGTGGCAGGGCCCAGTTTATATTTCTTTCTTCTGTTAAATCTTCCCTAGCCACAGGTCTCCCCCGTATTTCTGCAGACCCTCTCTCTAGCATGCCTGTTACAGGACTTCCTCATTTCAGCCCAGCCCCGGAGACAGTTTGGGTCATTCCTGGGGGTGAGGACCTGTCCTGTTCTTTCTCTGTGGATGTGAGAAAAGTGGGTGCACATGCCCATCCTAAGCCACAGCTTACTATCTTACGAGGGCTGTGTCCCAAAGGTGAGGCAGGACCAGAGCCGTGTGGCTCTGGCTTTCGAGCCAGGCCCACCCAGCACTTTTTAAGAGGTGAAGATGGGGAATAAATTTTTGTGTTTGTCAGAATAGCTTAGTCAACATGAGGCTTTTCCACCTGAGGGCTCCCTTGGAGAGAACCCCCACTTGAACCCTTTTCTATTTGGCCTTCGTAATAAGAGAAAGGAGGGAAAGAGACTCAGACTCAGACACTAACACTAATACAGCTGTGTATGGGCCAGGCACCACGCCAACTGCCAGAAGTGAATTATCTCATCGCATTCTTTCATAGACCTGATGAGGTTAGTACTATTATAATCTGCAGTCATAGCTGGGGGGAGAAAACAAACTCAGAGTAAATAGCTTATACCATGTCCAAATAAATAGTGAAGTTTTATTTGAATCCAATTGTATCGGAGTCCAAATCCTGTTTGTTTTTAATTTAGTCCACACTAGTGGTTCCCAAAGCTTGGTACCCAGAGCAGTTAATATCAGCATCTCCTGGAAGCTTGTTAGAATTATAAGTTCTGGGGCCCTACCCAAGTGCTCCTGAATCAGAAACTCCTCCTGAAAGTGATCTGGGCCGTTACAAGTCCTCTTCGTGGCGCATGCTCAAGTTTGAGTACTGTTATTCTGCACTAAGCCTCCCACAAGGAGATCCCCTCTAACTTGGCCTAGAGACCATCTTGACGTAGGAACATTCTAAGGTGTTATGTGTGGACCCTGTGACCATGCCAAAGTCCCACCTGACTTTCTGTGCCTCCACGTTCCTCATCAAGGCAGACCTGGAGCTGTGTAAGTTTGTAGCCTTGGAGGCTGGGGAGAGGGAGTCTTTAAAGAGAAAAGAGAAAAGAAAAAAATTTAATTACTTCAAGTCTTTCTTAGTAAAATTTGTCCCAGTCTGATCATTTGTATTTATTTTATGCTCATGTTGACCACCTGTACTGCCAGTGTCTACCGTTAATGTATTCTTGGTCATTCGTTCCGTTATTTATTCAACAAATGTTTGTTGGGTGCCACGGAGGTGACAGGTACAGTGTGAAGTTGTGCTGTAACAGCAAGTCAGAGGCAGAACCAGCTGGCCTTCTCAGAGCCTGCAGTTAACTGGCCATCACCAAGGCATGTGAAACGTGCTGCCTGGAGGGAAGGAGGCACCTTGGGAAAACACAGGAGACCCTTCTCCCAGATTTGCAGTCTGGGAAGGCTTCTGGGGGAGGTGAGGGTACTGCTGAAGACCTAAGGAATACATAGGAATTAGCCTCGTGAAGGGAAGGGAGCGGTGGCTGGTGCTCTGGGAATGTGCTCCAGCCAAGAGGTCCACATGTGGGAAGACTTGGGGAAGACTATGATTCTGGCATGGCAAGGAATGAATCCAGTTCAGCGTGGCTGACACCATGAGTGTAAAGTAGGCTTGGAAGGGAGATGAGGCAGCAGGAAACGCTGAAGGCAGGTACCTGACAGGCTTTGGAGGATTGTTGAACTTCCCTGGGAAAGTGGGGAAACATTTTAAAAGAAAGTAACATGAACAAATACGTGCATGTACTGGTGAGCTCACCCTAGTACTATGTGACCTTCTTTTAATGTAGTTTCTTTCTTGTTGGATGTGTTGACACTATCAACCGATCAGAGATCCGTTGTCATTCATGCCCGCTCTTCATCTTCCCCATCTACCCCAGGTGTCTGTGTGGTCTCCGCTTCCCACTCTGTCTGCCATCTCCCAGCTAGGCAGCCAGTGTGTTTGCTTATTTGCATTGCTTTTATTACCCCATGAACAGAAGTAGGTCACCTCCTAGAGACACAGAGTACCTTCAGCATTGTCTCCTGCTCTTGGCTGCAGGGTGCCTGTCCTTGCTGGTGACGGTCCAGCACACAGAGCGCTATGTCACCCTGTTTGCCTCCATCGTCCTCAAGTGTGACTACACTACCTCTGCCCAGCTCCAGGATGTCGTGGTCACGTGGCGCTTCAAGTCCTTCTGCAAGGACCCCATCTTTGACTACTACTCTGCATGTGAGTCCCTCACCCTTCTACCCATGTGCCTCTGTGAAACATGGCCTGAAACATGGCCATTAGGGCGTAGGAATTATTTAGGATCTCAAATCCTTGTGAGAGGGAGCCACAAAGGCCACTTAATGCAGTCCCCTCCTTTTATAGATAAATGAACAGCCCAGACAGGTGAAGTAACTTATTTGAGGTCACATACGATTTCATTTTAAGATTTATGTCCTACCTTGTTCCAAAAAGATATGGGCAGCTCAGACATGAAGTTTTTAAAAGGCAGTGCTAGTCCTATGTCTTGTTCTGTTCCTGGTTGCTTGCCAGCACACTGAGATGAGTACACAGTCTGCCTCCATTCCCCTCACCACCTGAGAATGTGGACAAGAAACCTCCTACATCCCCTGGGATCCTGAGGAGTGGCCCTTTGTGAACCTCCCTCCCACTGCCACACTCATTTTTGTGGCCAGCCTTCCTAGTGGCCGAGGAAACTCCCCTAGTGAGTGAGAGCATACTGCATCTAGGGAACGCATTCTCAGCACTACCCCCCCGCCTCCCACCACACTTAGCCAATCCTACCTCTCAGTAGTAGCCACCCCACTCATGTCAGCTCTCCTCCCTGGAACCAGAGCTCTTTCTAGCTGTCTACCTCTGCCTCTCTCAAGGAACAAAGGAACCCAGATCAGTACCATCAGCCCTGGACAATTAACCTTGTAGAAATTTTGAGAGTACAAGTAGACACTGTCTTTGTAAGAAGGAAGTGAGCTTCCTGAAGTGAGAAAAAAGGGGAGAGCCATCAGCTTTTCCTCTTTTAGCCCTGACTAATGTCTTAAAGTATTAATCTTGATACCTGAATGTTCTGCGAGTCACCCACGAGTCACCCACAGAATCTGACAGTTGTCTCCAAAAGATACATCTCTGAATCAAGGCGTAATTTCTAGGGGGTTACTCTTCAAATAAAGTCAGAAGGGAGGAGAGACCAGGACAAGCAGGCATTTGCCACCAGCAAATGTATTAAAAGGGCAGGTAGATGAACCCCATACAAACAGAATCTGGGGTGACCAAAAACGAAGCAAAGGTAGATGGAATAGGAGACAGGGGCATGGAGCCAGGATTTGGAAATGATGGCCTTTTAGAGGGTCTGGATCTTGCTTCTCAAAAGTTCATTTTATCACCTGAGAGTTCATAAGAAATGCAGACTCTCAGATCTCCACTCCGGACACTCAATATCAGAATCTTCATGTTTAGCAGGAGTAGACAAATGAGCTTAGGATAAAAATGAGAAGCTTCGCTGCTCTAGGGAACAGTAAGGGCTCTTTTCCTCCTGGGAATTCCCCATTACTGTATGACTTGACTGTCCTCTTTCTTCAGCATACCAGGCAGCTTTATCCCTGGGCCAGGACCCATCCAATGACTGCAACGACAGCCAGCGGGAGGTGCGCATCGTGGCTCAGCGCCGGGGGCAGAATGAGCCCGTGCTGGGGGTGGATTACCGGCAGCGCAAGATCACCATTCAGAACCGTGAGTGCAGGGGAGGCAGCAGCATCTAGGGCTGGCCAGAGGTGCAGATACTGGGCCTGGCGGGCTGAGTCATTTTGGGGATTTCCCTCTTTTCTTTCTTTCTTTCTTTTTTCTTTTTTTTTCTTTCTTTCCTCCTTTTCTTTTTGTTTGTTTGGTTTGTTTCTTTGTTTGTTTGTTTGTTTGAGGAAAGTGCCAGATATATAGAAGGCTGTTACCACCATCTGAAGTCACTCCCCTGGAAATTGGTCTCTGGATGAGATTTCCTACAGCTTTGGCTAAGAGTCTGGGAGTGGGTGGTTTCTTTTGCTTTTTCATGGCTGAGGTGTGGCTCGGGCTTGGTTGCTCCCTCCCATAAATTGCTCTCAGGGCCTGCATGAACGCTGGGCCCCCTGAGTTTCCCTCTGGCCGCTCCTCTTGTACATGTCTAAGGGGCTTCCAAGCAGATAGCCGCCTGGAAACCATCATGGCCCATTGGTAGAGGAAAGAGCATTAGCCTTGGAATCCGAAGACCTGGCGGGGTCTCTGGTTGCTTCCACCTGCTAAGTTCATGGACTTGTAACAGACATTTTCTCTGGCCCCTGTTACCTCAACTGAAAGATGGACATACTGGTCTCTGTCTCTGTACACTGAAGTAAATATCAAATGTGATATCTAAGAGCTATGTGTAAAGCATATTTATTCTTAGTGCCTAGTACAGGGACTGGTAGTTAGAGCCCTCAGTCTGTAGTCAGACTGGGTGTGGGTCCCCATTCTACACTAACAGGGTATGTGAACTTGGGCAAGTCCCTTCAATTTTTTTTAACCTCAGCTTCTACAAAATGGGACATGCTGTAGTACTATCCATCTCCTGGAGAGTTGTCAGGATTAAGTGAGATGATTTGCAAAACACTTAGCACAATATTAAATGTGCAGTGAACTTTAGTTATGATCACTGAGCATACTTTTGGATGGATGGGCTAGTGCCCCACATTCCTGTCTTGAAATCTAGGATTGCCAAGTTGGGTTATTGGCAGAATTCAGAGCCTGTTTCAATGAGCTTCACATGCAGTGTAAAATAAATATTTGCTGGTTAAAAGGGAAAAAAGAAGGGAGAATACATGAAGCAGGCCACTCAGGGTACCTGTAACAACAATGTGAAGAAATCAGTGAATGCTCTATGACCATTTAAATGAAGATCATTTAAAGGGAGCCAATTTAACATTTTCTTCCAAAATTGTGCATAATACTTTGGCTGTAATATTTAAGTCTGATTCTTTTATAGGCAATCCCTGATTTCCCGAAGCCAGCCCTTAAACTCTTGGCCTTAGGTACATCTGTCCTTTTCTGGTCTCTAGGTGCTTTCTTAAAGATTCGGGATGGTTCTCTTTTTCCCAGAGCCTGCAGAATTAGCCCTCATCTGACCCCAAAAGCCTCTTTAATTGGCAAGTCTCCTTTATAGTTTTTGAAGGATGAAAGTCCCCACTAATTTTTTTTCTAATTTTGAGTAATACTATCCACTATCTCTAATTCCAGTCACCTTTGGATCAAACTCTGCTTCTCCCTTATACCAGTGGGAAAGCAGTATTTCCCCTTGGTTTTTATTTCTGCCTCCCTAGTTGTCATGATTTCCTGGAGCCCTTGTTTTCTGACACTTTATGGCTGTGTGTGCATCATTTGAGATGACCATGTCAGGTCAGTTCTTGGATTATTTAAAATATTAACATAGCTGAATGTCTCCATTATTGTAACATCCCTAGAAAAATCTTTATGTCTCTAATAAAATTTGGAGCAGATTTTTAATGCACAGTAACATTGAGAGAGAATTTCCTCTGAAGCATTTTTACCATTCTTCCAAGTCTGGGGTAAGCTTATTTCTGGGAAAGGCAGTTTGTTTGGAAAATCATGGGTAGGAAAAAAAATATCGTAGAGATTGACGTAGAAAGAGGAGGAAACAGAAGTTGAAGTTAGCTCCAGTGGTGCATGACTTTGCATTTTTGTTTCATTTCCTCAATCAATATTTTTTGACGAACAGATAATGAAGAATTACAGATGGGACTGCCAAATAAGCAGGAGCAAGTCTATAATGCTAAGGGTTTTTAAAAAGGAATTCGAAGATGTCCCCTGGCACTTTACCGTGGAGGCTGCCCTGATGCATGACTGGACTTTAAGCCCTTTTAGGATGGAAATGAGTTTTGGTCCTCTGAATATCTGTCATAGAGCTAGACCCACACAAGGTCTTCAGTGACGATTCATAGCATTTACTAAACTTGAACATACCATTCATCTATCTTAATGAGGTAGCCCAACGCATGGTGCTCATGAAAACTGAAATTCCTTTGTTGAACACTGAGTCACATACCCTTAAAATATTGGCATTTTATCCTTCCTTATTCAACTTCATCTCATAACCTGTCCCTCCAAGATCCAGAGGGATCTGTTCACAGCCGGTGAGGGACCCAGGTTGTGGAGTTCTCCACACACTTTGGAAAGGACATTAGAACTTCGTAGTTAAGAGCACCAGGGTTGCAGCAGAGACATGGATTGGAATCTACCTCTGCTACTCGTTAATTCTCTGTTCTTAGGCCAGTTTCTTAGCCTCCTGAAGTCTTGGTTTCCTTATCTGAAATGAAGCTAATAAGCATACTTACTGTATCAGGATGGTATTGAGTTTGATTGTGAGTAAGCAAAAGCCCAAAGTATTAGTGACTTAAACAGTAGAGAAGTTTATTTCTTCTCATGTATAAATTTGGAGGTAGATAGTCCAAAATTAGTGTGGTGGCTCTGTTCCATTAAGACCTCAGGGATAGGCCCAAGCTCCAGCTCCCCAAGAAAGTCTTTTTCTTCCTCATGGTCCAAAATTGCAGCCATCACATTTGCTTTCCAGGTAACAGAGTAAAAGAAAAGAAGAGAAGGAAAAAAATGTTCCCAAACTGTTTTAGGAGAGTTCCTGGAAGCCATCATGTGACACTTCTTCTTGCATTCTGTCCACCACAATGGAGTTGCGTGTCCATGTCCACCTTTAAGAGAAGATAGAAAATAGTAACTTTATCCTGGATGGTCACATCCATGACCAAAAGTTACATGACTGTGAGAGAAAGTTATATCCCTGGAGGCAATGTAATGTGTACCTCACCCACTCAGAGAGCTGTGGTGGAAATGAAATGAGGTGATGTCCAAAATCCATTCATGGTACCTGGTAGGGCTCACTGAATCGTCAGTTGTACCATCATTGTACTATGTGGAGAAAGAGGAGGGTCTCAATAAAAGGACTTGAGGCCTACCTCTGCACTACGAGGGGCCCTCTTAGAGTGTGGAAGGACGGTGCTGGGTCTTTAAAAGCTATAGTTCAGAAACCCGGGCCCTCTCCTTTAACCCCTGGCACTTTCTCCCTCCCTTCCTGCAGGAGCAGATCTGGTGATTAATGAAGTGATGTGGTGGGACCATGGAGTGTATTATTGCGCCATTGAGGCTCCCGGGGACACGTCAGGAGACCCAGATAAGGAGGTGAAGCTCATTGTCCTGCGTAAGTGCTGCTGGAGCTTTCTCTTAGCCACCCCATCACTGTGACACTTTCACACGCAGAAAAAAGAACAGAAGCAAGCAAGCCCAGGTTATTGTTGGATTGCCAGCCTCCGAAGTTCCCTTACTGCAGCTAAACCTTTTTTTTTTTTTTTGCCAGTATTTTGATTGAATGTAATCTGTAGGTCAAGAGCTGTATTTATTAGACCTCTAAAACATTAGACCTGGAAGCTCTCACCGGCATGTTTACTTAGCTTGCTGTTGGTGTCTCCCCTGCAGACTGGCTGACAGTGATCTTCATCATTCTGGGAGCCCTCCTTCTGCTCCTGCTGGTCAGCGTGTGCTGGTGCCAGTGTTGTCCTCAGTATTGCTGCTGCTACATCCGCTGCCCCTGCTGCCCTGCCCGCTGCTGCTGCCCCGAGGAAGGTGAGAGGGGATGGACGAGCCATGGGAGGGGTGATGCTGCAGACTGCTATCTCAAATACATCAGCCTCACACACCAGGCCAACACCTTGGGTCCTTCCAGGCTCTCCTCCATGCCCTTCTCCCATCACAGGTGCAGAGGTCTTTGACCTCAGCCCAGAAAATGATGCTCCAGGAAGTTGTAGACCCAAGGGGGAAGACTTCTGCCTGTCTACATCCTAGCCTGTCTAAGGTCTCCTTACAGTTGTTGTTCTGCCTACTGATGGTATTTCCTCAGTGGCCCTGATAAACCTGTGCTTCAGTATTTGCTCCTAGTACTCACCTTGCTTTGATAGGGAGTGGCTGGAGTGGGTGGTTTGAATGTAGTTTGAATGTAGTAGGGAGAGAGGAGGCCACCCCTTAGAGATGGCTTGAAGAGAACAGATAGAGGAGAGAAGTACTAAAGCAGTGGTTCTTAAACTTAAGAATCACCTAGGGCTTGGTAAAACTTTGTTCCTGGCTCTACCTTCAGAGTTTCTCATTTAATTGGTTTTGGATAGTCCTGAGAATTAGTATTCTCAAAAAGTTCTCAAGTGATGTGATGCTGCTGATCTGTGGGCCACACTTTGAGAACCTGTTTTTAGATGAAGGAAGGAGGTTTAGAGGAAGGAGAGACAGAGCAGAAGATCTTGCTTTTAATGTGATCTTTCTTTTGGTTGGCTGAAATTTGACATTTTAGAACAGAATTATGTCATGTCCTAAAAAATTTGGCTGTGGAATGCCAATCTTTTTTGTAGAAAATTATTCTATAAAATTCTTTTCTTAGTAAATAGATGGCATGGGCTCAACTGCTTTAAATGGAGGGAGTTTTGTGTCCTTAAAACAACATTTTCCCCTAATATAAGCAAAGTAGTACATCGTAGAAAACTTGAGAATTTCAGGAAAATGTAAAGACTAATCTGAGCACTCAGAGATAATCACTTTTATCTCTCTTATCAGTCTGGTTCATTTGAACAGGAATTTTTTAAAAGAAAAGATAAGGAATTACTTCTTAAGATAGAAACAAAACTTAATCCACGATGTCAAGAAGGTCAGTGGCCTGCGTTTGGTTTTAGGCCCATGTTCCAGGCTGTCTTACAGGAAAGGAGAACTAACTTATTGGATGTCTGCCATGTATCGGCCCTTCGCATATATTTCCCTAGATGAATCCTCACAACCCTAGAAGGCTGTATCATCTCTACTGAACAGATGAGGGGACTGAAGGTCAGAGTGGTCACAGCTAGTCGGTAGCAGTGGCAGTATGGTGTTGAATCCGGGTTCACCTGACTTATGAGTGCCTGAATCTCACACAGTAGAGGCTGCCACAGCCTCTACATGGAGAACACGATTGGCTTGGCAGTGATACCAATGGCTTCTTTAAAGAGAGGAAAAATAGCAGAGAACTCAATATTGGGCTGTGGAACTCCTTACCTTTCAGGAGCCTGTGGGAGAGATGCCGTGAGGAAGTCACTGTCACTGGAGTAGTAATACACAAAAAGAGATGAGAAAATCACTCCCAAGATGCCTTCTTAGAATCCCTAGGTCCGTGGGGCACTAAAAACAGGCAGGACTGGGGACAAGGCCAACACAAATGATAAATATATCCACTGTTTCAGTAAGCTGATAAACAGGTTCTGGGGGGAGAGTGGTTTCTTCTAAGCAGTTAGAGTTCATTTAGAAGAACTGATAACAAAGAAATGCAGGCCACAAGTAAAGATCCCTGGACTTGAGCAAATGAGGTCACTTTCAGAGTGAGTCACTACAGCAGACTGTCCTGAGAATTTTGATGACAAGAGGAGAGTACATGGAGGGGGCAGAAGTTGTTAAGGAGAGGTCTTGGATGAGGAAAGAGGTGTATATGATTGTTGGTTGGAATAAAATAACCCCAAGCATATTTGTAGGCAAAGAACCAAGGCTAGTAGGAAATGACTAAACTGAAGCTTTATGAAGTGAGACAATCACTGAGCAGGTGGAACAGGTGGGAGTGACATCAGGCATATGGAGAAAGGACTACATTTAGAAAGGAAAGGTCTGACCTCTGGGGGGAGGGAGAGAGAGAGAGAGAGAGAGTCATTAAAATGTGAGGGATGGTCCAAGTATAAGGGAAGCTGAGGGATCTCATACCAGCCTGTCTCTGTTTCAGCAAATCAGAATTCTAGAGGCAGAAGGGAGCTTGAGAATGACACTGGTGCTTCTTAACCTTCTCTGACCACAACTCACCTCCCTAACTTGGTCCCACTTTCCAATGAGTTAATAGAGGACCAGTGAAGAGAAAAATGAGAATGACAACAAATTTTAGTAACCCTTGGTAATTCACATAGTGCTGGTAAATGACCCACAGTAGAACTTAAAGATGAAAGTTATTGAAACTGAATCCTAGATCAGTTGCTTGCCATCCTTCCCACAGAACCTCTAGACATACCCTGTGGTAGGCCACAGGGCACTCTGGGAATCTCTGATCTGTGCCACCCACCTCCCCATCCCCCTCACAACTGAGGGAAGTAAGGCCTAGAGTGACTTCAGCACAATCACACACAGCTTGTTGGTGGCAGATCCTGGACTGGACGTAGGTCTCTCAATTCCATGCCCAGGGCTGGTTCCTCTTTCTCAAACAAGATGATGTCATCAACTGAGAGTTCATGGGGAGGGGAAGACATGAGAAGAGGGGAATGTTTAAACTGCTCTCGCGGAGGGAAGTGGACTTGATAGATTAGTCAAAGGAAGCCATGTTGGGGAGTGCTGTTTGAGTGAGGTCAGTTGCCTGGCTGTGCTGTCAGCACTGGCAGCACAGGGCCGGAAGTGAAAGCTGAAATGGTAAGAGTTCAAGCTCATGGGATTCTAGGAAGCTCCTAATGGTGTCGCTGAAATGACTAGCCAGTCAAGTTAGAGGGGGCTGGTAGTATGGGAAAAAGTGAAAGGACTGTGTGATCATGGGTTGAAAGAGGGTAAAGAGTGAGTTCTGTAAGAGTGAAGAGGGGCTGGGAAGGGCTAGGAAGTCCAGATGGAAAGCTTCAGACACCATGGGTGATGCTGGCTGCAGGGAAGGAGAGGTGCTGGTCTCTGGAGGAGGGGGATGTGCTGTGCCATTTCTCTCACAAAAGAGACGTCTTAAAGAATATGCCCTGGGTTTTCCTCAGAAATGAAGATAAATAGGCCTTTGGTGGTCTGGTCTCCAGATGTGTACTTTTATTTCCTGTGGGGTCTAAGGCAAAAGAAGGGACCTGTTATAACAATTTATTATGACAGTGAGAGCCACTGTCTCTTGGTTGTCTGTCATCTATTAGTCACGTCACGTGTTTTGCTTCATTTAACATCTGTAACTTTATGAAATAGGTATTTCTGTCCTTAGCTCACAGAGGAGGAGCCTGGGACCAGAGACTCTGGAAATTTACTCAAAACCACACAGCTGGTACATGGTGGGATTCATGCTAAAGTCCATCTGACCCTCAAAGCTTATATTTAAGGAAACTTAACCCTGAGGACCATAGTTCTCAAAAGGTTGTTAAGAACTCTCAATAGTCAACTCCAGTTGGGCTTCCTGCAGTAGCATTAAGGAGCTTTTTAACAACTTGCACTTGCTTTGCACTAGACTGAAGGAGAGTATCTGGGAGTGAGCTCTAGGAATCTATATTTTTAGCTAGTGCCTTAGCATGATCAAGGCAGACTTTACTCCGCTGAGGTTCATAGATAACTAATTAGGAGTCTTTTGAGGCTTAGCTACTTTCTCCATGTGTCTTCTTTTATTGCCTGATTCCCCATTAGGTGAACAGCAGAAAATCCTGACATCCCCATGGGACAAGAGGGCCAGGGAGAAGCTCAGAGGCTGTTTTCCACTCAAAAGTTCTATTACAACAGGGAAAGGTGGGGCCCTGGGGAAAAGGGTGTGGCAGCTAAGAAGAGAGTGGGTGGGTTAATCTCTGGAGTATGGAAAATTTTACAGGAAAGCTTATGGAGTATCTGTAAGGGTCTTTATGGAGTTGTCTGTCTGTGCAGAGGATCCTGTTAGTTAAAAAGCGTCATTCAAGGAACGTGTAAGCCCAACTTTCTCTTTGTGAACTGTGGAATTGGGGGAGTAGGAGAAGGAAGTGGCCAGGATTCAGTTAGAGGGGTAGAGAGTGGGTAGGGTTGTTCCCAACAGAGTCAGATGCCCCAGGCCTTAGAGGTAGAAACTAGTCTGGAGTGGGTTTTGAAGTGTGCAGCTGATTTGGAGAGAAATAAAGCAAGGAGGTACCGCTGTGGAAAGTGTGTTTTGTTTCATCACAGAAATAGAGGAGAGTCTGGGGACTCAGTGATTTGGCAGAAAGAGGACAGGCTTGGGCATCGGAGAGGCACCTCTGTCATCACCAGCTATGGGACCTTGAACTGGGAAGTCAACCTCTGTGCACCCAGCTTCTTCATCTAATTCCCACATAAGACATTGTTCTGAGGATTAGTTAGCTTATGTAAAATGACTGGCACATGTTTAGTAAGCCAGGCATTATGTGTGCAGAGGGTGGCCCATGAAGGGAGATAGGGGAGGCACTGGTTAGCAAGAGGGAGAGGAAAGTGCTGTGCACGTGGAAGGTCTGGAGTGCTGCCACCCGAAGGTGTGGCCGCTGGGGGAGCTGCTCCAAGTCTGCATCTGCTTTTCTCCAGCCAAGGCCGTGATGCACTGTCCCGGCTGCAGCTCTGGACATTTTTGAGGGCTCATCAGCAACCATGTCTTGTGCTGGAAGTGTGTTTCACACTGGAGCCACCGGGTCCAGATGGCCACTCAGCTGTTGGCCTCAGCAAATCCCTGACCCTGTGCAGCAGGGGCCAGAATGTCTGTCTTCTGCTCCTCTTACCATGCCAAGAGGAAGCCCCAGGCAGAGCCCTGCTGCTTTAGAGGTGGCCACGAGGCTTGAGGAACGCAAGAAGAGGTGAAAGTGTCAAGCCAGGGGCCCGAGGCAGGCACTTCCTGCCCTGAAACACACAAGTACATTTCCTGCATGCATGGATAGACAGAGACCTTGGGAGACAGTTACCTCAGAACAGAAATTCATGAACAAAACCAACTAAATGCTTTTGTTTTTAATTTGCACTCACGGGGTGGAGGGGAGGGGACTCTGTGCTTCACATTAGCTGCACCTGGGGTACTGGAGTGACATGTCTATGGGTTCCTTGTGCTGCTTTTTTATATGATTTTTTTGCCCTGAAATGCTCCCTTCTTTACCTTCACTGCATCCCTTAGAGATTCCTCCCACTTAGGGAAAACCCAACACTTTCTAAGAAGAGTAGAAAGGATCCATTGGAATATACTTCAGCTTTTTGCATCTCTTGCCTCCCTCCCACTAGTTCTTCCCCCCAAGGTCTAGAACACCAGCTAGAAGGTTCTTCAGAGTCCTTCCCTCTACCAGTAATTCTGCCCATTGACCTCAGCACCTACATCGGTTTTTTGTTTTCCTTTTTCTGCCTTGAGCAGGCAGACCTGAGGTTCCCTGGCAGCCCCGGCCTCACAGCCCCCTCGAAGTCCTTTGTGTCTGCATCTTCTATATTTGGCCTGTGGCTGAAGGCCTTGTTGGCCCAGGACCTGGGATTTCATGTATTGCTCATATCCATGTATCTACCTACATCTTAGGGGAACCTGGGAATGGCAGGATGATGCAATGTTTTCAAGACTGGGAAGTCAGATATTATATGTATACTTTCCTGGAGTACATTTCCAGCCCCTTGCCAGATGACCGATGGGTTACTGCTCCTTTAACTCTGACTCCTATACAAGATAGGTTAGAAACTGGCCTCTTAGCAAGGCCACTGGGTAGAAAGAAGTGAAGTGGGAGGTGTGGGACTTGTCCTGGGTGAGGGTCTGCATTTCTCCTTTTCCCCCTGCAGCCCTGGCCCGCCACCGCTACCTGAAGCAGGCTCAGACCCTAGGTCCTCAGATGATGGAAAAACCCCTATACTGGGGGGCGGACAGGAGCTCCCAGGTTTCATCTTATCCAATGAACCCGCTGCTGCAGCGAGGTAAACCTTGCCCGAGATTTGGGATGGAAGGGGGCAGAGGGCAAGGGTAGGCACTGGGTCTATATTGGGACCCTCATGACCAATATGGCGGGTGTCTGGGATTGAGGATGGGGTCGGGATAGATGCAAGCTGATTAATGTGGCATTCTGGTGCCCTGGTTCTGAGGAGTATGTTTTGGGCCAGCAGTTCTGCATGTTCTTATCCTTGTTTCTATTCAGATTTGTCCCTGCGATCCAGCCTCCCACCGATGCCAATGACCCAGACCACCGCTCACCCTCCCATTGCAAATGGTGTCTTAGAGTATTTGGAGAAAGAGCTGCGGAACCTCAACCCAGCCCAGCCTCTGCCCCATGACCTCAAAGCCATATCCGGCCAAGCCTGCAGCATGCTGTCCTCTCTGGGCTCTGAGGTTGTGGAGCGCAGAATCATCCACCTGCCCCCACTGATCAGAGACCTGCCGTCCTCAAGGAGGACCAGCAACTCCTCCCACCAGCTATGGCTTACCCCAATTCCCCCTGGACCCTGGGATCCGAGGGAGGGGAGAAGGCAGCCCCACTATTCTGATTTCCACCAGGAGCTTCAGGACCAGGAGCCTAAGCGCTGGGCGTTGGAGGCACGGGAGCTGAACCGACTTCAGAGGGGAAGACACCACCGCTCTGGGGTGCACAGGTCCCCTTTGCCCTGGTCAGACAGGGACAGCCTCAGCGATGGCCCCTCATCAAGGGAGGCCCGTTGGCGGCCCGACCACCCACCTCTCCGGAGCCGGTACCCAGACGGACCCCGCAGGCCCAGACCCCAGGAGAATGCACAGAGGCACCAGAGGCGCAGACACCGTAGCTACTCCCCTCCCTTGCCTTCTGGCCTCAGTTCCTGGAGCTCTGAGGAGGATGAGAAGGAGAGGCACCCCCAGAGCTGGGGAACCCACCGCCACCACAGCTCACACTCCTCTAACTGGCCTGAGGAGAAGCCACCCAGCTACCGCTCACTGGATGTCATGCCAGGCAAGAATGGCAGGAAAAAAGGGAGTGTGGAGAGGCGCTCGGTGAGCCTGGGGCATCCTGCTGCGGGTGGGGTGTGGGCAGAGCGGGGCTTGGCCACAGCTGACACAGGCCACCCTGCCTGCTCCTGATGTGGGTACCTCGTCCTTGAGCTTGCCCTGTAGGCGTGGTGAGACCTCTTGTCAGAGCTAGAAGGGGCCTGTGCCATCCAGAGGGCAGAGGAGGGCTCCATGCTTGATGCTTAAAAAGGGCCTTCTCATCCTCAGACCAGCCCTCCTCACAGTCTCGTGAGGCAGGGTTCCCCCATTTCACAGATGAAGAAACAAGGCCCAGAATAATTTCAGCGTCCCTGAGTAGTGGAGCTAAGACTTAAATGCAGGTTTCGTGGCTAAGGCTTTACTTCCTGTCATAGCTGCCTGTCTTTACTTAGCAACCCTATTTCCATACCCCAAATTAGACCATGCCTGACAGAGGACGTTTGTGCCACTTCTGGGGGCAGCAAGTCAGTGTGCAAGGCCTTGTATTTGAGGATGAGGTCCTGTGAGACCCCCTGGAAGGAATCCTTAAACTGATTAAACAAGCAAACAAATAAAAAACAACTTATATCCCCAATATGAGTCAAAACTTTAGGGTTTAGGAATAGGCAAGGTGCCAATGAGTGCCAGTTGTAGCTTACTAACCTAAAAGGGGTGCAAAGAGGGATCATAGGCCTTTTAGGCCTTCAATTTTTTTAAAGATATGACTTAAAAAAATCATTTTATAATTGATATACCAAAACGATGTGTTCCCTTATGTCACTTTGCAAAATTATGCTGCCATGGCTCAAAAATATTCATGAACTGCCTTCAGAGTCAACTTAAATGAAAACCTATTTCTCTATCTGACCAAAATCCTTTTCTACTTTGCTTCCTTTGAGATAAAGGGATATGTGGTAGGCTCTGAGGGAAGTTCCCAGAGTAGAGAATATTATAGGAAGAATTTTAGTCTCCCACACATTTCCAAGGATGTCTGGAAATGCAAGTTTTAAACCAATCCCAGGCATGGAGTGTGCAAAGAAACAGGCACCTTATGGGAGCTATAGTGCTAGCTTTTCTAGATAAGAGCCGTGGTGAAAGAGTAATTCATGAGGAAGGTAGCAAAGTCCTGTAGGTAGTTCTAAAATAATGACAGTTCTCATAGATGTCCCAGGAAAGAGGCAAAGGCCAGTAACAATGAAATTTAGTAGTATCCTTACTAAGTGGTACCTAACTATGGCCATTGATGCCATATTCCATTTAACCCTCACAGCATCCTGTGAGGTTTATACTCTTGTCTTCATTTTTATAGTGGATACAACTCTTTCTTCCAGGTTATCAATAAGAAAATTACATCCTGGAAGAACACCTGGAACCAGTTAAAGCCAGGACAACTGCTCCTCCTTTAGTCAGAGAGTGACTAGACTGTCTCTTATCTTCATTTTAACAGAAAAAAATGTAATTTGAAAGGCAGTTTTTGGCCCCAAATCCAAACCCTATCTTTGAAGTTTTTCTTAACTTTCTTCTCTTTAAGTGAAATTATGTGGTTTCTTATAAGTGAGAGTAGGGTGAAAGAAACACTTGTTATGTTCCAGATATTGGGGTAAGCCTTTTCCAAAACTTATTTATTTAATCTTTGCAACAATGTGTGAGGCTCAGTGACATTGGATATCATGCTGGACGTCACACAGCCAATAGGCAGTGAAGCCAGAATGTGAACATGGGTAGCCTGCTGACTCTCAAGCCTGTACCTTTTCAGTAACTTTATGCAGCCTCATTTGAAAGAAACAAGAATCATTTCGGGCAGTGGTATTTTCCTGTTATATTTCTTCCTGGTAACTTTATTTCTTCCTCATTTTCTAAAAGTCTCACAACTTCCTTTATCATTAAGATGTACACACCACTAATTCTACCACAAGCAAACCAAATTTTCTATTGTAAAGTTGCTCACAAGATGCAAAGATTTTGCTCAGGATCATTTTGAAGGTGCCCATTCATTGTTTTGAATTTCTCTGAGCTTATCTCCCAAAGAGTTATCACCTTGAACTGTTTACTCATATTCTGAATGAGTACAGGCCCAGGGCTATGGCTGGCTTTAGAAGATTGATTGGTTTGAAGAGCACAGTGTTTTGTTTATAGTCTGAATTTTGAATGCCTTCAGTGAAGCAAAAGCCTCCAGGGCCAAAGTCTTACTCTTTGCTGCTCTCCTAGGTGGGACTGGATGCTTCCCATACACTTTTTCCCCTCCCCCTCCCCCCATACACTTTTCTAACCTCTGAAGGCTTCAGAAGCTTGCTGCTAACTTCAGAACTTATAACACAATTGGGCCACTAGATGGCAATCTTTGATTATGTATAACAAAGTTTGCCTTTGCTCTTTGAGTTAAATAAATGTATCACTATTTTTTAAAATCAATCTTTCAGCAGTTACAGCTTCACCATAACTTTTAACAAAATGCTTATTAAAAATACTTTATTAAATATTCAGAGCAGTATGCATTAATCAAAAAACCTCTTGGCTTACATGGAACCTACTCTCTAAGGATAATGTTTAGCAAGTAGATACTGAGGAACAAGGGCTTCCATCCAAAAAGGTAAGAGAACTATTCTCTGCACAGTGCCCATGAGAAAATGGGAGGTATGTTGAGGAATCTCCCATTTGACTACAGAATCAGGATTCCAGCAGAGATCTGACCTCAGGTTTGGTGTTTTTTTTTCACTTCATCAAAGGCTACATCCTCAGAAATACAGGAAACTGTAATGTCAAGTTTTAAACTCCTGTGATTTCAGACTGGGTTGCTCCTCTGTTCCTGGCCTCCTTCAAATGGATTATCTTTCTTTCTAATCTTTCCCTACAAGAAAGGGCTTCCCAGGCATTTCTGGTTTGTTACAAAGTTGCCCTATACCTCCTGTTCTAATACAAAAGAAAACTCCTGCATTCCTTCTTCTCCAAGTTAAACTCAAACTTTCAGTAGAGAATCCAAGATTCTTTTTTTTTTCTTTTTTCTTGACTTGATTTAATAAAAAAATTTTTACTCAGTATACTTAGTCTTCTACTTTTAATACAATTCCTTGATCATGTCTAGGTTTCTCTTCAGCAAGCCCTGCACAAGTTTCTTTTGTCCCATTTCATTGCTTTTCTTTGTATCAGAGAATATTCATCCCATTGCATTTGATTAGAAGCCATGCTCCCTAAAACTCATTTTCCTGATAAAATGGAAACAATTTTTTTATAGTAACATGAATGTATATACATATACAATGCATTTAACGGTAGGTTTTGGGACAGATACCTTGTTTTGCCATTTCAAATAGGATAAGAAAGGTCACATTCATGGACTATAGCTATAGATATTCAAAACTTAGGAATGATCCCCAATAATACTTAGTTAGAGAAATATGAGAAACATAGAAACATAGACAGTCCTTGCCCTGATAGAACAAGTTGAAAAAGCCAAAAGATCAAGCTGAAGAAAAGTCACTGAGTTTGGTCAGAAAGAGATAATGATCTTTGAAAAATAACTTGAGAAAAATACTAAGGTATGAAGCTCAACTTTTTAGAAAAGGGCCAAAAAGGAATGGTTCAAGAGAATATGAATAGGAAAAAGAAGAACTGGGCCATGTCTTCATGAACAAATGGTAGGGAGGTGGGCTGACGAATGGACAGGGTCCTTTTTTTTCAGTCTAAGGAAGATTTGAAGGTGTTGAAGTCATCAGGAGGCAAAGTGAATGAGATTGTAAGAAATTTTTAAACATTAAAGGTATTTGAGGGAGGCTCCAGGAAGTTATGAAAGAAGAGAAACCTAAGCCTGGGGAAGAGACTGGCTTCATGAGGAGTCAAGAAGTATTTTTTAGGTTCAGTTATGTTGTCCCACAACTCACCTAGGATTTGCACCAGGATCAAGTGAACCTTGTAAGTTGTATGCACAGACAATAGATCCCAGCTGACTGGATTCTTTTGTGTTCTATTCCCCAGGAGAGAGACAGCTCCCATAGTGGAAGGAGTGTGGTCATTTAGTCACCTGGCACAGCGCTACATCTTTGGCTACTCCTCAGCTCCCACATGTCATCAACATCACCCAGATTTCCAGCTGACTTGGGAGGGACACTGAAAGTGTCTATCTTGCAGATTCTGAGAACAAAATAGAAAAATATTAAAAACAAGAGTTTGAGGAATTAATTACTGTAGTGTTAGCTTTGGCTCACACTCTGCACATTTAGAGTATCTGACTTGTAATGGACTCTTAACTGGTTTGTGATCTCTCAGGAAATTAGTAGCCTGAGTCTTCAACTAGGTTACAGAGCTCAGAACTATGGCCATTCTCAAAGTGAGAACTCAGGAATCTTTAAGAAGAAATCAAACATGTTTCAGGTACAGGATATTTATTGAATATGGAAATTTCCACGGGAACTTGTCTCTATTTCTATAACATACCTCCATTTTAGGAGTCCACCTTGCTACACCCATGCCCAGTCCTGAGGGCTCCTGAGGGTCAAGTCAGAGATGGTACAGGAAATACTCTCATGGGTTATTTAGGCAAGTGTGGAAGATCACTAAGAAGCAATTATACACCAAACTTATCTCTCTCGCTTGTTTTCTCCTCCCCGCTCCTCCTCCTTTTTTGGGGGGAGGGGCCTACATCTAATTTATATATCCTTACATATTATGTATCCACTAAAATCACTTTACATTCTTCTTGGGAACAACACAGTATACAAATAAATTAGAAAATATACTGACCTAAGGATTCTGTCCCAAATTAATACTTACTTTGGTGCACTTGACTGAACTGAGTTTTCTTCCCTACTAAAGCTCAGAGAAGAGCCAGCCTGGCTCTTCTTGGATAGTTTGGAGTCATCTTGGACTTGGATAGTTTGGAGTCACCTTTCTCCTGGCACCGCTCAGCCTTGTAGAGTTGAGATTTCCCAAGCAGAAGCATCGAGGTAGGTCTGGCCACTGAGAGAACACCAGGAGGAAAGGACTATGCCCTCTCTATAGTAAGCTCTACTACTCCCTCCCATTTTCCCCAATCCCTTTGCTGGTTTCATGAATCCATCTGTGCTTGATGTAGAGATGCTCCTTGAGAAGATTGGAAGGAGATGGTCTGAAAGGAGGGGTGTGTGTGTGTGTGTGTGTGTGCGCATGCACGCTCCTCAACAGTATCTTTATGTATATGGCCTTATTCTCAATTTAGATTCTATTGTGTTGACACATTCATTTTTCCCCCCAGCCTCATTAATTACATCCAGAGAAAATAGATTAAATGCGTGAATCAGGCAAAGATTACTTTCAGATTTTTGATGTCTATAATGTAACTGGGTCTAAAATAGCAAAACAGAAACAAAAATAAAAAATTTTAACAGATAAGACATAAAATTCAGTAGGTGAGGGTCTTCTGGTCTGGACAAGATGGTATAGACTTTTTCCTTGCTCCTTCCCACTAAGCATAACTTTATAAACCCTGAAAATGCCATGAGAAACAGGCAAAGGAGAACTCTAAAGGATGCTAAGAAGGCGGCAAGGTGGTTTGGGAACTCAGGGTGTGAGGCATAACACAGAGGCAGGGTATCTTGAATCCCCCAACCAAAAAAGAGAGACACCCAGAGCTGGCATTTCCCAACTTCCCACCTAGCAAAAGAAGGTAATAGCTCATTCTTCCCCCTGGATTTAGTGGGAGTCTCTCTGACAACCTCGGGCAATGGGGACCATCTAGGAACCCTGCCAAAAATAAGTGACCAGGGGAAGTACGCTCCTTCCCTGCTAGGCCAGAGACTCTTCCATGGAGAAGTACTATGGTGAGTAGGAAGAACCAGTAAGAGGCTCAGATAAAGTGAGTAACCCAGCTGAGAAAGCTCTTTGTTCTCAAGGGCCAGATACTCTCTTCCACTGCCCAGAGATAGTAGTGCTGACTACGAAACCAAGAAAAAGGACCTGTCACAGCTAATAGCCTGAGCCTGGAAGCCACTTGTTTCCATGAAACTGATACTCTTCTCCCTGGCCCAGATTAACTAGGGTAGCAGGGGAACACCAAGAGAAAGATTTCTACATACTCCTCACCAAGAGTTATCTAGCAACCCAGCCAGGGGAAATTCTGTCTGTCACCTCAGGCAGCGCTGACAGAGACCAGAGTGATCCTTAGCAGCACCATGTACATCAAATAGACCAACATAACATCACAAATGTTCTGAATCATTAAACTGCCATTGGAATCATGGCCTGCAAAAGTAGGTGACAACTTGTATGTTGAACCTAAGAGAGTAACTTCCTATAAAATAAAATATTAAAATAGGACCCAGAGTATCCTAACATAATAGACAAAATGACCAGGATACAAACCACGAACCAAGAAAATCACAATTTGAATGAAAAACGAAATCACCTGATGCCAACCTGATATGAATCAGATGTTGGAATCATCTGATAAGAATTTGAAGGCAGATATTATAAAAATGCTACAACAATTACAATTCTCTTAAGAAATAGAAAATCTCAAAAAAAATAATAATTATGCAAAAAAGAAAAGGGAATTATAAAACTGAAAAATACAAAGCTTAGAAATTAAAAACTCACAAGATGAGCTCAACAGAAGAGTGGAAATGGGAGGCTACAATCAGTGAACATGAGGACAGAACAATAGAATTCACTTAATTTGAACAATAGAAAAGAAACTGGAAAAAATGAACAGAGTCTCAGGGACCTGTAAGACTACAACAGAATATCTAATATCACTGGAGACCCAGAAAGTAGAGGAGAAAAGTAGGGACGAATGAGTATTTGAAGAAATAATGGCTGGGAACTTCCCGTATTTGATGAAAGACACCAACTTAGAGATTGAATGAACCTAAAAGCTAAATGAACCCAAACAGGATAAACCTAAAGGATCCATGACAAGATACATCATAATTAAACTTTTAAAAAAGGACAAAAACTCTTGAAAGGAGCCAAAGAGAAACAAGGCTTTCTCTGTAGGAAACACCAATTTAAGTGGATTTGTTATGTAAAACCATGAAGAAGGAAAGGGCAGAACGTTTTTTAAGTGCTGAAAGAAAAGAACTGTTAACATAGTTCTCTATCTGGAAAAGCTATTTTTCAGGAATGAAGGGAAAATAAAGACATTCAGAGATGAGTGAAAGTTAAGATTCTGTGACTAGCAGGCCTACTGTGAAAAGACTGAAGTTTTCCAAGCAGAAAGGAAATGATAAAAGAAGGAAACTTACAGCATCAGGAATCAAGAAGAAACAATAGAAAGAACAGAAATATGAGTCCATACAATAGCACATTTCCTTATGAGTTTTATAAACAGATTGAAACAAAAATTATAATACTAATACTCAAAACAATGATATTTAAAGGTGGGAAAGGTAAAGAGACCTAAATGGAAGTGAACTTTCTATACTTCATCTGAAGTGGTAAATGTTGATACCAGGACATCGTTATAATTAGCACCAACAGCAACCACCATGAAAATTATACAGAGAGAAAAACTCAAAAGTATTACTCAGACATCAGAAAGGATGAATACCTACCATTTATATCAACATGATGGAACTGGAGGGGATTATGCTAAGTGAAATAAGTCAAGCAAAGACAATTGTCATATGGTTTCAATCATATGAGGAACAGAAGGAATAGCTTGGAGGACCATAGGGGAAGGGAAGGAAAACTGAATGGGAAGAAATGAGAGGGAGACAAACCATGGGACAAATCAGGAAATAAACTAAGGGTTATAGAAGAGAAACAAATGCAGAAGAATTGAAATCATACAGAATGTGTGCTCTATCATGGAATCAAACTGGAAATCTATAACAAAGACAACAGGAAACTCTTGAAACACTTGGAAACTAAGCAAACACACTTCTAAATTATGGACAAAAAGGAAGTCTCAAAGGGAATTTTAAAAGTACATAGAACTAAATAAAATGAGAACACAACATATCAAAATATGTAGTATCCAGCTAAATCAGTACTGAGAGGGAAATTTATAACACTAAATGTTTACATTTAAAATGGGGAAAGATGTCAATTTCTGTAATCTAAGTTCTTAATTCAATAAACTAGAGAAAGGAGCAAAACAAACCCAAAATAAAGGTATGAACTAATATAAGAACAGAAAATAAAACTGCAAATAGAAAACATTACCAAATAACTCAAGAAACAAGAAGCTTGTTCTTCAAAAATATCGATAAAATTGATAAACCTCCATTAAGACTGACAAAAACAAAATACATACTATCAATAATCAGGATAAAATAGGAAATATCATTCCAGAGACTGCAGCCAGTATAAAGTAAGTACAAAAGTATAAAATAAATAATAAACATAAATAATTATCATATAGTTATTAAGCAATAATTATAAATAAATAATGAGAGTACTACCTATAACTTTATGCTCATAAGTATGGTGGCTTAGAAGAAATGAAATAATTCCCTGAGAACCACAGCCAAAATTCAACTAAGATGTAATAAATCATCTCAAAAGTTCTATAACCATTAAGGAAATTGAATTTTTTTGGCTATAAGATTTTTTTTATATTCAATTTGTTCTACTTTCACATCATGTCCAGTTTACTGATACAGGTAAGTGACAACTGTAGAAGCCTGGATATCTCTCAACAGAAATGAAGGAATAATGTTTGTTTCCAAAACATTATATGCTCCGATGGAGGAACCTGAGTTAATGTAAAAATTTTTTAATGCTCATATGCTTCAAATTTGTGCGTATGAGATAAGAGTGTCCACATCAAACTACCTCTGTAACAGGGCTTAAGCTGGCTATATCTCCCATGGAATGACTTGATGTCCATATCTCCCCGTGGAATAACCTGATGCCCATATTTTCCCATGGAATAACTTGATGCCCATGGAGCAAACCGATTTTGAACTGCCCAGCAGTTACAACTTTCTGTTCTAGATAATTCAGATTCTCATCAAAGCCTCTTCTTACAATCTGAATATCACAGGCCAAAGTCTTGAGATAGTCGTAGCTGGTTTTGGTCCAAAGTTTCCAGCACAGAGAATGTTGAATCTTTCCTGGCACCAGCAGTTTTTTTAGCTGGCAAACTAATATGGGATATGCAGGTCTCTTTTTACCAACACCAACAACCTATCACTGGGCTCCGCTCAGTCACCACAAGCACTGCCACCTCAGGAAACTGGATTTTTAATTAAAAGCTCTCTGAAATGAAATCTCCAGACCAAGACAGTCTTACTGGAGAAGTCTAGCACAACTTTAGAAGTATAATTAACACTAACTTTATACAATTTCTTCCAGAAGAGGAGGACACACTCCCCGCTCATTTCAGGAAGACAGCACAAAGCCACTGCAAGTCATTACAAAAAAAAGAGAAAACTATGAACAAACATCCTTCCCGAACTTAGATGTAAAAATCCTTAACAGAATATTACCAAATATTTAAATATACAAAAATAATTATACACCATGAACAAGTGGGAGTTGGTCCCTATACATAAGCCTGTTCCCAGCATAGTAAAAACAATCTTGAAAGATGAAATTGGAGGACTTATCCTTTCCAATTTTAAAATGTACTATAAAGCTATAATAGTTAAGAGAGTGTGGTACTGACCTAGTATAGACATATTGATCAGTGGAACAGAATTAAGAGTCCAGAAATAAATCTTTACATTTATGGTAAATTGATTTTTTACAAAGCTTTTTAGGCAATTCTGTGAGGGAAGGATTGTCTTTTCTACAAATGATGCTAGGTCATTTAGATAGCCACATGTAAAAAGATGGATTTAGAACCCTCATATACATGTAAATAATTAATTCAAAATGGATAACAGTCTAAATGTAAGAGTTAAAACTGTAAAACATTTAGAGAAAAAGAGAGAAGAAAACCTTTATGTCCTTGGATTAAGTAAAGAGTTCTTAGTATGACACCAATAGCATAATCCTTAAAAGAAAATAATTATAAATTGGACTTCATCAAAATTTGAGTTTTGTACTTCAAAAGACACCATTAAGGAAACAGAAATACAAACCACAAACTTAGAGAATATATTCACAAATCCTTGATAAAAATACTTCTAACCATAATCTATAAAGAAATCTTATAGCTAAATAAGACAAATGACAAAATTTTTAAAAAGAGACAGGTTTGAATAGAGATTTCACAAAGGAAAATATAAAAATGGTTAATGAGCACATGAAAAGATGTTCTAAATAATATCACTATCATTACTATCATAATAATACTATCACTACAAATTAAAACCACAGTGAGACACCACTTCGTACCCACTAGAATGACAATAAGGAAAGAGACAATAGTAAGTGGTAGCATAAATGTGGAAAAATGGAAACCTTCATAGTTGCTGATGGAAATGTGAAATGATGGGGCTGCTTTGAAAGACCTTTGGCAATTAAAAATGCATATTAGACATACATTTACCATACAACCCAGAAATTCCACTCCGTTATTACCCAAGAGAATTTATCTACATAAAAATATATATAAATGTTCATAGAAGCCTTATTTATAATAACAAAAAAAAAGTAGAAAAAAATCCAGATTTCCATCAACTGGTGAACATATGAACAAAATGTGGTATAGCTATACAATGGAATTCTATTCAGTAATAAAGAAAAACAAAATACTGATGAATACTACAACATGGATGAACTTCAAAAATGTTAAGTGAAAGAAGCCAGATACAAAAGACCACATATCATATGATTCCCATTTATATGAAATGCCAGAAAAGGCAAATCTGTACAGACAATAAGTAAGTTAGTGGTTGCCTAGGACTGGGGTTGGAACAGGAATTGACTGCAAATGGACAGGAGGTTTCTTTCCGGGGTGACGGAAATGTTCTAAAACTGGATTGTGGTGATGGCTGCACAATTTTGTAAACTTACTAAAAGTCATGAAATTGTATGCTTATAATGTGTGAATTCTATGATATATACTATACCTTAATAAAAGTCTTAACTATAGTAGGTCAAACATCATTACAAAATGTGTTTTCTGACATACAATGAATGATAGAAATCCTTTTAAAATGTGTTCATATAAATGATAATTTTAATTTAAAATTTTTTTCTTTTCTAACAGAAAAAGGGAAATTGAAACAAAACTGGAAGAATTGTTAAACTTCAAATATTTCATTTGAAGAGATTTTATTTTTGAAAAGAGCCCTCCTGGATTTTGAAAAAAGACAAAGGAAAATGTTGAGCAGTTGGAAATCATTGTGTTTTAAAACCCCAGGTTTTGAAAGCCCTATCAGATTATGAAAAAAGACAAAGGAAAATGTTGAGTAGTTGGAGTCATTGTGCTTTAAAACCCCAGGTTTCAAATGCTAGCCACTCTCACATTCCCTGTAATCTCTGCTCACCTCTTGATTTAGTTTTGTTGTCAAAGAAAATAAAGTTCCCAGTTATATTTATTTTTAAAAACCCAAAGAAAATATAATTTTTATTCAAAGTTATTTTTCAACTTCTACAAAAAGGATACAAAGATACAGGCATCTTAAAAATCAAAACCAGCTCTGGTCTCAATTCTGTTGAGTAAAATGTTATGCTTCTTGGGGGTAATTTCATGGAGGACAAAGTTCATTTTAAGTTCAGCTACATCAAGATATGAAATAGCCATAAGAGATTCTTAATCTCAGGAAACAAACCGAGGGTTGCTGCGGGGGAAGGATAGGGTGACTGGGTTATGGACATTGGGGAGGGTATGTGCTATGGTGAGTGCTGTGAATTGTGCAAAACTGATGAATCACAGACCTGTACGCCTGAAGCAAATAATATATGTTAATAAAAAAAAAGAGATATGAACTAGCCAGTCCTTCCCTCCTCCCCACCTCTACCTACTGCTTGAGCTCTCCTTCTAATAAATAAATAAAATCTTTTAAAAAAAAGGAACCTCAAATTTACATATTTTATTTCTTATAGATGAGATACATTAGTTTGTTTAGATACATATTTTATCATTTTAACATTTATTTTGCAATCATAATTCTCATAATTAATATTGGTTTTTTATTTAATGCAGGTTCTCCATTCCCAAGTTATTTTTATTCATCTTTTCTTATCAGGACTTCATCATTGCATAGCTTTTGCAAGTCTCATAAAGGCAATTTTACTTGAGTTTGTTCATGTTTATAAAAGCTGTCAGGCCCCTACAATTTCAACCACATCTTGATATAATTTTTTTCTTTAGGATATTGTAATAGCTGCTCCATTATCATTTGGTATTGAATTCTGATGTGGAAAAGACTGAAGATGGTCTGTGGGAATATTTTTTCTCTTCTCTGTAGATCAGTGGCTCTTAATATATGGTCCCAGGTCAGTAGCATCAACACCATATGGGAATTTGTTAAAATGCAAATTACCAAACCCCATGTTATGGCTACTGAATAAGGAACTTTGGTATAGAGTCCAGAAATGTTTTAAAAAACCATCCAGATGTTTCTCATGCCTACTAATGTTTGAGAACTATTTCTTTTTTTCTGCCTAGATACTTGAAGATATCTTGTAATTCAATGACCTACTCCACTAATCCAGGATATTTTAGAATTGAGAGTTCTCTGTCAAAATTTCCTGAATTCCTTTCAGTGTGCACTCTGACTGATGAAGGATACAAAGCAAACAAATTAATCACTTGGCTGCTATGACTGAATGACTATACATCTCAGGTTAGTTTTAATTTATGCCTATTGTCCCAGTGTATTTATGACTAGGGCCTCCTTCCATTTTCAAGACTGTCCTAGTTTGGATGATAGATTATATGGTCATCCTATTTATGACCAGTGAGCCCAGTGGCTTGCAACTATCTATGATCAAATGCGTTATGATCTCTGGGGAAGCTCTGAGAGGAGATTCAGCATAAAGGCCCATAGTTTTGGAGTAAAAAGCTCTTGGCTTGCTATTGGGCTATGGTGGAGACTGAATACTCATTTGACTATGGATCACTGTTGCCCCACATGAATTGAGTGTTTTATCTACCAATCCATAGAATCAGCCATTTCCAGCAATACTCCTTTATCATGTGGTATATTTGGGACTGGGCTTGAGCAATTGAAAATTGGATGAGCTGGTAGCTCTTAATCCTGGTGTGTCTATTCCCATTGCGCTGCTATCCTGCTCTCATTCTTGACTTTAGCCACATGCAATGCTCTTGATGGCCAGAAAAAAATCTGAGTCTATTTTGCAGAGGGTTTTGCATGACAGTTGGTGATGACTTCTGCAATGCAGCAGAAGTCAATGCAGTCCCACCAAGTTTGTGATCCTGCAAAAAAAGAAAGGTAATTCCATCTAGTGGGCAGAACCCTAAACATGACATCTCATTGCTCATTTAGTCCAAAGGAAAGCTGAGTTGCCTCTTGGGGGAAATTGGAAGGGGAGGTGAACAATGAGAGACTATGGACTCTGAAAAACAATCTGAAGGGTTTGAAGAGGTGGGGGGGGGCGGGAGGTTGGGGGAACCAGGTGATGGGTATTAGAGAGGGCACAGATTGCACGGAGCACTGGGCATGGTACAAAAACAATGAATACTGTTATGCTGAAAATAATTTAAAAAATGATTAAAAAACAAAACAAAACAAAAAAACCAAAAAAACAAAGGAAAGCTGGCCTAAGGAGAAGCTCTATAGAAATACATGACTAGAAAGCTAATGATTTGGCAGCACAGTCAGGGACATGAAAGGAACAATATGAGAATTGAGGGTGCCTAGGTGGCTCAGTTGGTTAAATGTCTGCCTTCTGCTCATGTCATGATTGCAGGGTCCTCCTGGACTTTTCAAGGCATCTGCTTCTCCCTCTGACCCTCCCCCAATGTGTTCTCTCAACCTCTCACTCACTCTCTCTCTCAAATAAATAAATAAAATCTTTAGAGAATTGATACTAAGTTGGTCTGGAAAAAAAGGTATGCAAAGGGATCTCTCAGAATGAATTCAGAGTATTAGAGTGTTTGTGTCCTATATAAATGCCCACCAAAGGGCCTTTACTCCATAGATTTTCTTTGCCTAGGTAAACATGATGAACTCCCTATTTCAGCACTAGGGACCCTATAATCAATTATTTAATTCCAAATATTCCTGTGAATCGAACCATTATGATTGTCCCACCAGCACTTCTGTCTACTAAAGTAACCAGCCCAAGTTGTTCTTCTGATAATTTGGCGCTACTTACTAGTCTCTGCCACCCTGAGATATCATATTCCTTATTGAAATCATAGAACCCATTTCAATATCAGTATTTGCCACCTTTGTCTCTGATCTACAGAAGCCAGCCACTATGGTGCTTTTCAAATATTTTGGTACTACCTTCATTAGTGCATTTCTCAATGTTATTGTGACTGGCAAGTCCTTAGGGCTGGGATGGCTGAGTTGGTAGTACATGAGAGACCCACTCTAACATACTTATCTCCCTAAATCTTTTTTTTTTTTCTTTTAAAGATTCATTCATTTACCTCAGAGAGAGAGAGAGAGAGAGAGCACATGTGAGTGAGAAGGGGAGAAGGGGCCAATGAAGGAGAGACTCTCCAGCAGACTCCTCACTGCCAGGAAGCCTGAGGCTGAGCTCGATCCCACAACTCTGAGACCATGACCTAAGCTGAAACCAACTGACAGAGCCGCCCAGGCACCCCACTCTCTAAATCTTTTTATTCCTTCTTCTATAGAGGATTTCTGGCATTTCAACTGAGCATAAGCCAGGAATGAATCCAATTTTCTGCCTACCAAAAACAAAAAGAGAAAATAAAACTAATATTACACTTTATGTTAACTAACTGGAGGTAAAATAAAAACTTGGAAAAAGAAATTAAATTTATGGTAAAAGTAAAACAGAAAAACTTACCAAAAACAGATCAACTACTTTGAGGCTAAAGAGGATAATAATTTAAAAAGGAAGTTGGATTCATAAAAATATTGTTATTAAACATCTGTTATAATAAACAATAAATGATGTAATAATAAGAAAAAGCTGACCCAACAACACTGAAAATGCATGGTTGGAAAATTATAATTAGTACCCATATAACTGTCCTTAGAAAGGCATAATCCAGCTGGAACATTGTAGTCCCTATGAAAAATGTACACTCTTAAGACTCAACAGAATTTCTACAATTTATACATGTTCTTGTTTTCCAGAACTATGCTTACCACATTTAATTTGGTTTCCAAAGATCTATTAATATGAAGAAAGGGGGGTTTGGGTTAGTAGATAAAATACTGTAATTATCAGAAAGATGTATTTCTTCTGTGTATTAATAAAATGTCATTTGTTTCCTACCACCTGGACTGAAAAATTTACTATGGTCTTATCAAAACTGGATAGCTGAGAGGCCAGGCCCTATACCAGATCGCACCATAAATACCAATTCTTGAGGTCCTAGTGAATAGTACAATTATGTTGCTTATGAAGAAACCTGAAGTACCATTTCTGTTATTCTGCAATTTTACCCCTGAATCAATCCCTAAAAATGTGGAGTCATCGGTTCTAAATGGCAAGTAAAGGGATTCCCATATAACTTTACATAATCCCAGAAACTAATTCAATTACACATTTGTGCTTTTAATGGCCATTTAGAGATGCTAGGCCTTCTTCAGGAATACTACACAATGTTTACAGAGTTTAGTAACTGATGGGAAGATATAGAGTCTCAGGGGACTTGCTCTTTAATGTACTGGAATATCCAGTCCTAGAACTGCCTCTATCATGAGAGAAAATTGGAGGACCTCTGCTCAGATATGATGCTACTTCCCTTCCCTAACAAGTAGGAGAAAAAAATGCCTTAGGATGGGTGATAACCAAGACAAAATCCCAGAAATAGGGTCTGGGAAGAGTCCAGGGAGCCATCAGAGCTTTGTCTTCTTGGTCTCCAGGTTGATCATGTTCCCTTGGGTATAGGGAATCTGCTTATCTGCTGGCTCCTGTAAATCCTCTGGCTTTATAGGAACATAATAGTAGCCCATGATGGAGAAGATCAGGCAGACCACCAGCAGGAGACAGGAAAACAAAATGAATTCAGCCCACTGCAGGAAGAAATAAATATAAGAGAAGAATATGAAGAAACTTTAAACGGATCTTCATAGGATGAGGACTATGGAACAAACTGACTCAGGGTCACCAGCGTAGGCAGAGGTTTGTTAAAAGAAGAATGGCTTCACTGGCCTCTACTTATATGGTCTATGGCAGCCATTATTGCCACTCTACATGTCCATTCTCCTGGCAATGTCTGTTTATATCTTAACCATCTTACACACAGCACTGAGTGAAGAATGTGGGAGGCAAAGGGATGGAGGAAGAGGGAGGAAAGGAACTTGGAGGGAAAATCTTGGGTAAACACAAACTCCTGCTTCATCAGATCCATACCTGTACCAGGCTACTGAACTGTGCCACAACAAGCACGATGATATTCCCAACTGCGACTGTCAACAACCAGGCTGCCTGGAGTACAGATTTCATACTAGTGGGAGCCTAAAGAGGACACAGGTCTGTGAGTAAACAAACTCCCCCAAACCACTCTATGACTCAAGCATCTATCCAGAAAACTTTTCCCACAAAAGTTTCCAAATTTGAACTCCTCCTCCTCCAACTTTAGCTATCATGTTGATTTAAGGGGTGATAATAATGTGAACAGTAATAATAAGATGGAGCTCTTAATTGAATACTTCAATCCATTATTCCATATAATCTTCATTATACCCTAAGAGATAAATTCTATCAGTATTCTTACTTTACACATAAAGAAAAATAGCTTTAGAGAGATAATTAACTTGCTCAAGTTTTACACGAGAAGTTGTACAATCAAAATTTGAACATGGGCAATTTGACTCCGTAGTCCTTATTCTTAAAGTACCCTTTCCTAGATCCCAAACAGCATCAGTTACTATGCTGCACTGCCATGACTCCCTCTTCAGGGTCATATATAAGGAATCTAAGGCCAAAAAAATATAGAGGTCTTGGCCAGGATCACACACTATTTAAAGCAGTATTATAATTAAAATTCATCCTTCTCCAAGCAATATATTTGCCTCCACTTTTCACTTGCAAAAACCTACCTGAGAATAGGAAAACTCAAGTCCTGTGACAGAGAACATGACCTCCCCAGCTGTAACCAGGGCGTACTGTGGTAGCTGCCATGCAATGGAGAGTTTGGTGGTAGGCATGTCTTCCATCTTCCAGGCCTGAGGATCCTGACTGGTGCGCTTAGTGAGGAAAAGAAGAAATGGGTTCATCAGCAGTCTCAAGTAAATATTTCTGATCTACAGCATTCTATGATCTTATACCCATCCCCTCTTTGTATTTTCATCCTTCAAGAGACAGCAAGTTCTACAAATTTCAGTTTTTTTTTAATTCCTTTTGGTAACACTGTGCTCACTTACCTGGGTTTAGTCAGTCAGATACTATTATTGACAGAGTCCCTAAATGGCAGAATATTTTGATATTGTTCTTGTTTGGATTTCCACCTTTTGACCTATAGGTACTCTGATCCTGGCCAACATTTTAAATATAAAATGGCATCTGAATTTTACAAACACAATGAATTTTCAGAAAGCACATTCTTTTTTTTTTTTCTTTTTGAAGATTTCTTTTCTTTTATTTATTTCACTGAGAGAAACACAGTGAAAGAGGGAGTATAAGCAGGGGGAGTGGGAGAGGGAGAAGCAGGCTTCCTGCTGAGCAGGGAGCCCAATGTGGGGCTGGATTCCAGGATCTGAGCTGAAGGCAGATGCTTCACAACTGAGCTACACAGGCACCCCCAGAAAGCTTATTCTTGAGAAAAGTTTAATTCCTTGTCCAGTTTTCTATGTTAAGTGCAAAGTGTTTTTAGCATTTTCCATTATTTTACTAAAATTACTTTTATCAAAATGAATTATTTTTTTGGTAAACATTACATAAAAGATTTTGTTGATCAATTTTGAAAAATCTATATCAAATACTGCCTGCTATTTTAAATTCTATTTACTGGCCATCATTTCTGAACTCAAATCTTACACATTTAAATTATGTCAAAAAGGCAGTTTTTCTGTAGAATTTTAGTCAAAAAGAACTCTTTCAGGGTCAATATTTTTGTTACTAATCTTACCAAATATATAAAACTATTTAATCTTTATTTCTTTGTCTAGAAGTACTTTTACTATGCAGGTTTCTAACTATGGTTAGTTTTATTTTATATAGGCTATGTCTACTAATATTTGTTATGAACTGGATAAAAATTCTAAAATTGTATGTATTTCTTAAAGTGAAACCATTATTAGGTAGTGGGTGTAATATCTAAAATACAATATGATTAAAACGGCAGTTAAAATATCAAGATCAAAAGTCTTGAAATCAAAATTCTCTAGTATCCAAATGTCCT